GCACTTGTTGTTGTTGATTTGTTGATGATAGCCATTCCGACTGGCAAGGCATTGCTTTTTCCCCCATAAATAAGAACTTACATATTTTTTCCACTATATGTCACACTATTAGTAAGTACAAGTTCATTTGCCTCATTTGCAAATTCTTCCAAAAGAACAACACTAGCTTTTCAGCTATAGACCATCTCTTTATTTTTATTTAGCTCTATTAGGTATAATTTTCATATAATGAATTTCAGCCATATTAAGTGTACAGTGTGATGAATTTTGGCAATTGCAGGTTTAGAACCACCACAAAAACTAAGACATAGAAATCTCCACTACTCTCAAAAGCTCCTTCCTGACCTTTGGCCATTATAGGCTACACAATCAGGCCCTAGGCACCCACTGATCTTCATTCTATTTTTTTAATTTTGCATTTTCTAGAATTTTATATCAATGGAATCATGAAGCAAGAAGTCTTTTGTGTTGGACTTCTTTCACATAGCATATATTTTTGTGATTTGTTTTTATAGTGTGCCTTTCAATATTAAATGTTCTTTTTTGGTTGCTGATTAGTATCCCAAAGTATATATATGATACAATTTGTTCATCCATTCATCAATGAAGGAACATTCAGTTTGGGGCCATTAAGAGAAACAGTTTGCACACTTTGTGCAAATCCTATCATTCATTTCTTGTGATAAATGTTTATGAGTGAAATTGCTAGGTTCTCTGACAAATATGTTTATTGTGATAAGAACCCCCTGAACAATTTTCCAAACAGGATGCATCATTTTGCATATCATTAGCAATATATGATAGTTCAAGCTATAATTTATTCTTCAAACATTCCTTGGCCATTTTGTTATTCTCCTTTTGGAAATATTTTTATATTATCTCTTTATTTTCTTTAGATTTTTCTTTGTTCTTTACACTGGATAATATTTATTGTTCTATCTACAAATTTCATGACTCACTTCTCAGTCATTTCCATTGTTTCAATTTTAAGCTCAGCAAGTGAATTTTTCTTATTTCATATATATTATTTTTCAGTTCTAGAATGTCCTTTGGTTCTTTTTATTATTTATTGACCTGTTTAATTATTTTTAACTCACAGTCTTTGACTTCAGTGAGGATAGTTAAAATGGCTGTTTTAAAATCCTGGTTGGCTCATTCCAACATACAGATAGTCTAGGTTTTGGTCTCAGTTGATTTTCCCTTTTTTAATTGAGAACATACCCTATTTTCCTGAATTTTTGCATCTCAGGTAATTTTGGATTACATCTTGAATGTTATATTATTAGGTTATGGAGACTATGAATTATATTGTTTTAAGAGTAATATTTCTTTTATTTTTGCAAAAAGTTATCTTGGTTACATTACATTTCAGGTGCAAACTACTTGAACAATAATTCCAATGCTAACTGAGATCTGTTTTCTTTTTAGCTGATTAATTACTTTTTTATTGTTTAAAGTCATATATATATATATATATATATATATATATATATATATATATATATATATCTGTGTGTGGATTCCCTATGAGAACCTGCATGTCTCTGTTTACTATAATTTATTTAGCTGGTTTTTTTTTTTGTGTGTTATGTCCAGAGCTTACAGTTGTAGTCTTTATGAAGGTTAGCCTAATAGGATCTTATTCAGCCATTATCAGAAGCCAGTTCTTAATATTTCTTAAAAAAATGTTTATCTAGAAGACAAGTTTATTCAGAACATGAGCTCTTTATCTTTCCTCCATATATTTAAGTATAATTAATCCTGTAAGTCTAACTAAAAATTCAATCTTCCATTGAGTTTTTCTCCAGCTGCCTTGGATTGGTTCTCTCTCTCCTGATCTCTCTTTTTTATACTTATTGAAGTTATAGACAGTTGGACTTATTTTTTTTAAGCAATGTAGAATAATTAAACTTCAGACATTTACTACTAATCTTCAACTCAAATAGTTTTCTCTTAAACTCCTATTAAGTACAAACTTGTAACAACTAATATTTGAAAGTCATATTCTCATATTTGCTCATACTTTTAGCTCAAGAGGATAATGTCTAATAGTGGTAAGTTAATTGAATTTGGAGTCACAGGACATAGTTTGAAGTTTACACTGTTATGCTTAGATCTAGTAATTTTACCCCTGAGTCTCAATTTCTCCATCTGTAAAATAGGTATCCTAAAAATCCCTACTTCATAAAGAAGATATGATTGACAATACCATTAATCCAGTTGCTCCAGCTCAAAAACAAGATAAAAATCTTTCAAATTTGCTTCTCCTATTCCATAGCCAATCAATTACCAATTGTTGTGTTAATTCACCCATCTTAATTTCTTTTTCTTGTTGTCACTATGTAGGTCAAACATTTGCATCTCTTTTGTATTCTACAGCAACAATTTCTAACTGGCTTCCTGCCTTTGGGTTTACCTCTCCTCCTAATGGACTTCCCATGGACAGGTTTTTTCAAAAAGGCAAGTATATTGCTCCACTTCCTTGCTGAAAGCCCTTCACTGGCCCTGCCAAGGAGCCAAGTCCAAATTTCATTGCCTGACACTATGTCCCCTCATTATCTAACCCATTTTACTCATTTCTTATTAGTCCCCTATGTTCTTCCCTGGCTCCAGCTGAACTGAGCTACTTGCTTTTAATAACATTTTGCATGCTATCGAGCTCATTCCTTTACATATGTTGCTTCTTTGCTTGGAATGTCCTTTGTTGGAAATTCTTTTTCTACTGTGCACGAAGGCATCTCATTGTCTAGGTATGATCTTACCCGAAGGATACTGTACACATGGCAAAAGGACCATGCCTCATGGTTGTTTTGATCCTTCAATAATGAGGTAACAGGAATAGACATTCAATGGATTGGTGAGTGAGAGGTCATTCATTGAATAATATAAAGCAATCTTGACTCAAGAACTAAATTTATAGTATATTATACATGTGATTTCAGGCTTTTATAACTGCTCCTATAAATTTCATATTTTAAAATAGTAATGAAAAAAATAATTTCAGAACGTAAGAAAAGAACATTACTTAGATACACTACTTAAAATAGTAAAACTCTGGGAAATGAGCAAATGCAGAATCTAAGTCATATGTAATAAAGTGCCATTGGCTCTTAAATGAATAAAATGTCTTAGGAAGTATGGTATCGTTGCTTTATGAACACATTTAGGGCTAATTTATGTCCATTCCAAACATTATCTCAAAAAAGTGGGACCTATGTCCTGTAATTATGGCTTTAATGCATTTTAAGTAAGACATACATTTTTAAGAAATGTCTTCAAGAACATCTCAGCAAATTTCTAGGCCTTTATGTTCAATCATTGGCTGAAGTTAAAGGAAGTCTATAATCATGCCACCAATATTGCTATTAGTGAGTCAAATTGACTTCATTCATTCATTCATTCATTCAACTATGTATAGAGAACCACAATGAGTCAGGCATATTTCTAGGAGTCTAGGTGCTTGGCCTTCAGCAGTACCCACAACAGACTAAGTCTCTCATTTCCTGGCACTTACCTTCTGGGGAGAAGCATATAATAAAAATTAATATAATCAGGTTATAATAAGTACTCTGGAGCAAATATAAGAGTTAAGGAGACAGAGTAGAGGGGAGGAGAATGCTACTTCTGAGAGTAGTCAGTGAAGACATTTTTTGGAGGAGAAACATCTAAGCAGAAACTTATGTGAAAGCAAGAGGGAGTCAGTCCTACCTCCATGGGGAAGTAGAGATGAATAGGCAGAGGGAATGGTGAGTGCAAAGATCCTGGAAAAATGTGGTACTGAATTCTTTCTAAGAAGAAGGAATGTTATCTCATATTTAAGATTGTTTGAAAAATCAGATCACCTATATTGGAACCTGGGCTTCTTATGTATCATTAACTGCAATCTAAGTGTTATTTCAAAATTCCTTCTTTTCCTGGAATTATGAAAAAAATAATTTCAGAACGTAAGAAAAGAACATTACTTAGATACACTACTTAAAATAGAGTGTGTTAAGAAAGAAAAAAAAAAGAAGAAAAAGAACACTTATCTAGACCAACTGTCACCGAAATACCCTAACCTAATGATTTCCTACTGGTGGATATTTTTCGTAGTTGTTTTGATGATTACACATTGCCATCCATTAATTTAACGGCCCTGTCCCCCAACTCACTTATTTAAACACTCACACAGAGAAGCTTAGCTTGTAGGAAGTGGATAGGTGAAACAATGTGGTCTAGTGAGTCACACCCGTCATAAAAGCCAGCGCCTCCGATTAGCTGTGATGAATTTTTAACAATCGCCCATCCAGCAGCAGAAGATGTGGGCGCAGCCAGAGGGAAGAGGCCAGAGGCAGTGGCCTTGCCTTTATACTACTCCTACCAAAGGGACTAAAACAGGCGCTACAATTCGGAGCTGCTTCTGCCTCTAGCTGGTGGAAACCGAGAAGGTGGTGGTGGAGGGAGTTTGGTGGAAAGGCTCAGTTGAAGGCTGCTGCCTCCAACTCCACTTAGCCTCCCAAGACGAGGACGCCTGGAAAGAGCACAAAGACGCCGAGAACCGAGAAACCCATCGCGGCGCGGCGGCGGTGCGGGCTCACTCCCGCGCCCCTCGGAGCGGCTCGGTGTGAACGTCACAAGTGACGCCCCGGGGCCTTCACCCCTCCGGCCGCCCCGGGCGCTGCGGGCGCTGTGGGCGGAGGGTGCAGGATCGCTGTGGGAGGGGGAGAGGGAGGAGGGCGAAACTTGTCAAAGCAGAGACCACCACCAGCATCAAGCACCCCGGACCCGCGTCCCTGCAACCTATGCCGCCCACCCCCACTGCGATCGCAGCTCCTGCCCGGGGCGGGGTGGGTTGGATAGTGGGGAGGAGGGTGCTGTGCCCTAAACCCGGCCAGGAGGGGCGGCGGGGGAGGAAACCGTGGCTCTGACGGGGTCTGAAGTGTGGGGTCTAGCTGGATTCAGACTCCTGCACCCGGCAGCGCCGCGGAGGGGGGCGGGGGAGAGGAGGTTGTGCTGTGTGTGTGCGCGCGTGTGTGCGCGTGTGTGCGCGTGTCTACAGGTAGCAGCAGCGGCGGTGGCGGCGGGGACCGGAGCCGGGGACGCGTCTGCAGCCACCTCCCTCCCCGCCTGCTATGTTCCGAGGCGATTGCTCACTTGGCTGACGGATCTGTACCCTCGGGAAGGGCGATCATCTCATCCTCTCCGTATCCACGCGTTTCAGCCTTCTTCCAGTTCCAAGTGTGTGTGTGCGCCTGTGTGTGTTTTGGGGTATTTTATTTTTAATTTTTATTTCCCCCTTCTCCCTCTCCATCTCGGGGATTCTGCACATGGAAGCAGGTGGCTCCTGAAAAGAAATCTTTGGATACATTGGGTTTGCCAAGTTTTTTGTTTTTTTTTTCCCTCTCTCTCTTTCTGCCCGTCCCCTCCGTCTTTCAGAGGCATCTGTGGTGCTTTTTTGCTTTTTTGGATTTCTGTGCAGAAAACGTCTCTATGTTTATATACCGACCGCATCCCATCTAAATACATAGATACGCGTGCCCGGGCACTTGGTTTTTCTCGTCTCTCTCTTCCCGACAAAGCGGAATGCGTTGGCGCCGATGGATAACGCGAGCAGCCTGGACATTCTGTTGAGCCCATTTTCTCCAAAAAGGAGGGAGCGTGAAGGATGGTTTAACGTTCGGCCATCGCTCGGCTGCACACTGAGCATCTCCAAGTATTTATGGTTGCAGATCAGGTGCAAACGGGACTTAGCGATAAAGGTAAGGAGCTTCCCTGCTGTCTGGCGCCTAGCTCCGGCGTTTGTCTTCATTCCGGAATCGCTAGAACTTCCGACTCCCTGCCTCTCCCTCTCCCTCTCCCGCCTCTCCCTCTCCCTCTCCCACCTTCCACCGCCCCTGCCCAACTCGGTCTCCGGCGTTCGCTGAACCCTTTTCCAGTTCCAGTGGGAGGCAGGGGGGTGGGGGTGCTGGAGCTTCATCGTCTGGTGGAGTTTAAATACTTCTCTCTCCCCCCCCTCCCCCACCCCCAAGCCCAGGAGCTGAGTTTCCCAGTCCCCTTTTAGCTGTTTTAGGAAACCCATTTGTCTTTTTAAAAAAAAAATGCTACCTAAATAGCTGTTTTAAACATCTCTTGGTGCCCACCCCTCAGCTCTATCCTCTGACAAAAATAAAAATCATTAAAAAAAGAAAAACTTGAATGAACTGGGTGGTTTCTTTAGCACTGGGGTTCATGGAACTCCCCCAAACGCTTATTTTCCTTTTCCTGTAACACCAAAGCGGTACCCCGGGAGGAGTCCACCGCGGAGGACACTCAGCGTCGGTGTCTGCAGGAAGCCGATCCCCTTCCCTCGGAGGAGGGTCATTTGCCCGAGTTCAGCGCCATGGAGTGAGCCTGGCGCAGGGACCGCTGCTGCCACTTCGTTTCTTGTTAAAACCTCCTCCCTTTACGGTGTGCACGGCGTGGCCAGCTCCCGTGTCCCTCCCCAGTCCAGGGGACGCGTTTTCAGGCTCGACCTTTCGGGGAGAGGGGGGGGGGGGGACTTGCCTTATGTTTCTCTTCTGTCTCTCCACCCTCCTTCCTCCTCCTCCGATCACCACCTCTAGCCCTCGGCAGTTTGCAAATTGTCCGTTTTGCCCACCACCCCTCCTGGTGGGTGCTATCCGCTCGTCCCCGCTCCTGCCCTCTCTTGTCCTCTCTCTCTCTCTTCTCTCTCTCTCTCTCTCTCTCTCTCTCTCTCTCTCTCTCTCTCTCTCGGGCGCTTTCCGAGTAGATGCATCTTCTCTTCTTGGTCTTGGGCTTCCCCTCCCCACCGCGTCCCCACGCCCGCGCCCCTGCACCCCCACCTGCCCCCGACTCTCCGCGCCCCTCCTCCCGCCTCCCCGCGGCGCCCTGACCCTTCAGGCTCGCGCGCATCGGTCTCCGGGCGCTCGGGGAGCATCTGTCCCGGGGCCGATGAGGTCCGGGCGGCCGGCGCCTGGCCGGCAGAGCTGGGGAGCGGAGGGATCGCGGGGAAGGCGTGCGGGAGTCGTGGCCCGGAGGCCGGGAGAGCCCGTCTGAGCCGGGGGAGACCCGAGAGCTGGGAGCAAGGGAGCGAGCGGGTGGGAGGCGCGCGCGGATGAGTGCCTTCGCCTCCAGCGCCTTCCAGCGGCGCCCCAGCCCCTGCAGCCGGTCACCCTAGAGCTGTGTCCGGGGACCGCCGAGACCGCGAGCCCAGCTTCGGCAGAGAGAGGTACCAAAGAAACCTGGAGAGGAGAGAGCGGGAGGGTTTCCCGGGAGATGCGGAGGCTGAGCCGATGGAGGAACAATGCCGCCTCCAGGAGAAAAACCCTCGCCCCCAGCCCGGGCGGAGCGCGGGCGGGCCGCCTCCAGCCGCCTGCTCTCTCCCGCGGCCCACGGGGTGGTTCCTGGGGGTGGCTCTGATTCCCAGTTTGGATGGGATAAGAAAGTTGTTCTTCCCCACATTTGCTGCCTAGTGGTTTTCAGATCTGCACGGGTTCGAGCCCAGATGTCACTCCCTTAAGATCCCCCTCTGTGAGCAGCGACTAGATGACGCCTTATTGGGCAATAAACCCCTTGGGGGAGAGAAGGTAGTCTGAACATTTAAAACGCTTTCCACTGGCTTCTGACTGTGCAGCCAGGTGCTTTGTGAGCAGACAGGAAAAACCGCCTGCAGGGAATTTAAAATTGGGAATAATCTATTCCAGGGGAGGTTGTTAGTGCCTTAGATGAGGGAAGTTGTGTGTCTAAAATTTGATTCATTTGTGATTATTCTAAGTCACGAACAGTTGGCCTTCACAAAGGTATTTATACTATTCTTTTTTTTTTTTTCATTTCCAGGGCCACATAGGACTTAAGGACTGTAAATTTAGAAAGCTAGCTAACCTGGTGTCTAGTCTCTGCATTTTTTACTTAATATACTAATTTTTGTTCTTTCTATACTGACACTTACAGTAGTCTATTTTTCTCTATATAAGTTCTCATACTGTACATAAAATATACTGGGTCATAATATATTTCTCAAAAACCTATTGTGCTTGATTACAAATAGGATCACATATAGAGATATATCACTAGGGAAAGGCAGGGAGGGGTACATGTGTTTGAGTGTAAAAACCTATAGAATGTCTTGGCATTTCAATCAGCCATGACAACTAGCAGAACACTAGCTTTCTGAAATGAGCTCAGCAGCAAGGGCCAAGCACGGATTTTAAATATTAAATATTAAGTACGAAAACATTGTTTACTGTGCCCTTGGCAGAGAATGAATCTAAGTCTATCCGCACTGCTGAGTGATTGAGTGATTCACAGAGAAAGTGGAAGTTAATCATTACGCAGGCCCTCTGATTACATGGTTTGATTAAAAGAAGTAACTGTTTTCTGTAAGCCTGCTATTCTACAGTTAGCCTTTCCAATCCTCTTAACACAAGCAGAAATTGAGGGAGTCAGTCTTGCAACAGCAGACTGACTACACACTCCAGTTCCTGCAGTGAGGGGCAGAGAGAGTCCTCTTTAGCTCCTCCTCCTTTTCTCAGCCTCCCTCCTTCCACCCCCAAGGTACTCTCTGTCAGTCTTACCTTTATTTCCTTGGCAGTGGCAGTGTTTTAGTTTGTGAACATTTTCCTTTAATACTTAGATGTAAAGTATTTTCAAATATAAATGTCTGGGTCGATTTGAAGTTGAAGATGGAATATAAACTCCCAGAAGGCAGGCTGAGAACTTCATGAGCTGCAGGTGGAGTGTTAGAGGCTTGATGACTTTGAATGCCCTGGTGACTTCCCTTTCTCAAGTCTCTTCCCACCTGGAACTTCTCATATGATACTCCCCTTCTATTACTTCCACATTATTATTATTCCCTTAAATTAGTTCTTTAGGGTTGTTTTTTTTTTTTAAACAGGATAATTAACTATAACTAGAGAATACATATATAAATCTTAGCTCTGAGATGAAAAAGAACATTTTTTAAGCAAAGCTTCCTTTCAGAATTCTGTTTAAAATTTTTATACAAAGGGATTATTTTATGAATTACCTAACAAACACTAATTTGTAGTTTTTGTAAGCAAAGCATAATTGGAATTGACAGTGAGATCTGAAACCACAACAATTCAACAATACGCTTTTGTACATGTGAAGATTGTTTATTTTCATCTTATTATATTGTAAATGGGAAGATTCCTATTTGAATTCCTGTGATTCCTAAGTTATATTTCAGTTATTTTGTAAAAGGAGTCCAGTTCAGCAAACTTATTTTTTGTTTTCTTAAAACATGGATCTGGCCTTGCAGATCTCTTATTAATGATGGCCAGGGGTTCCTTATATCTGGGATGCTAAAGTCCAGAATACTGATGGCATTCAACTACTTTCAGTACTTACTCCCCAATTTTACTTTTTAGATTTAAACGCATTGCACTTGGAACTCCTCCATAGTATACTCATTATTTCATTCACAAGACTCTTATTTACTACTTTCCTGAATAGTACATGCTTTGCTTATGCTAACATTTCTTTATGAATTATTTCCCACTGCCCCTTCCAGTCCCCCCTAAAAACACTCAGCAACTGTAGGACTAGAGTACATTTTGTTTTCTTAGAATAGTCTTTCTCCATCACCCCGCTTCCTTCCTGTATGCTTACTCTGAGCTTTCAAAAGACATGATTCATACCAGGAGTAGCCTACTTTTCATACTTCTTGATGGTTGGCACCCTCCCTGGATAGCAAGTTCCCAGAGGCCAAAAACCATACCTGATTTATCATTTCATTCAGAATGCTTAGCCCCATGTCTGAACATAAAGTAGGCCACAAATGAATATTAAATGCATTATTTAAAAATGCATTTGGTTATGAGGCAATAGAACATGACTAACAGTGGATTAAGCACATAAGGGTTTACCTTACATCATAAAAACTCAGGAGACAGTTGCTTAATCATTTAGGAATCAGCTTGTTTTTATCATTTCAGAACTTCTCTTCTCATGGTCATGAAATTGCTGTTGTGCCTTTAGCATCATGTCTGCTTTCTAGGTCCCCCAAGGATAACAAAGACTACTCTGGGACAAGATTGCCCAATCTTGGCACTATTGTCATTTGGGGCCAGATAAGGTTGTTCCATGGGGGAGTATCCTATACGTTGTAGGATGTTTAATAACACCTGTGGTCTCGACTGACTAGATACCAGTAGCATGTCCCATTCATTCCTCTGCTTACGACAACAGGGAATATTCTAGACATTGCCAAATGTCTTTTAAAGGTAAATCATCCTGAGTTGACAAAATCTACTCTTTCTTCAAAGGAAGGCAATTCCCTGTTTCCTTCTCTCTCTCTCTCTCTCTCTCTCTCTCTCTCTCTCTCTCTCTCTCTCTCTCTCTCTCTCTCTCTCTCTCTCTTTCTCTCTCTCTCTTTTTTGCATTGGAGTGATGGTGGGATCTCTTTCTTTGTTATTGTTGTTTGTTTAACAAATGGAAAAGAACTCTATGAAATTGTTTAAAAAAATTAAAAAAGGACAGGAAAGGGACAAACAAGCTTTTTCTTTCTTTGAGCATTTGGTCCTTTTTTTGTGATGTGGACATTCTCCCCATAGACTTCCATTCTCATATTCTTTCCAGAGCTGTGTCAGAGGGCCACCTCCAACTACAAGAGAAATTGGGAAATATAGTTTTAGTGTGGTATACCACTACCTTGGAGAAAATCAGAATCTGAAAAAAGAATGAGAAATGAATTTGTATTTGAAAACTAGAAGTGTTTGCCACTATTATAGGATAAATT